TTCCAATAGATTTGGGGGAATTGCCTTGTATCTCAAAATTAGAGATACGCAGTTGTCCTGAATTGAGGAGTTTGCCCAAGGGAATTGGCAGTCTTCGCAACTTAAGAAAATTGGACATTGGTAAATTCTCAGAATCAATTGATTTCAACTCATTCCAAGCTGCTCTCGACGGCATCCAACAATCCAAATCTCTCTGGCATTTGACTTTATATGGTTGGGAACATTGGGACTCATTGCCATATCAAATTCAGCATCTCACTTCGCTCACAAATTTATATTTAGTAGGTTTTGGAAATGAAGCATTGCCAGAGTGGTTTGGGGGTCTGTCATCTCTTTTTACATTAGAACTAATTAACTTTAAAAAGCTTAGGCATATGCCCTCTAAGGAAGCGATGCAACGCCTAACCGGGCTAAGAAGTTTATCTGTTTATCGCTGTCCATTGTTGGAGAAGAGTTGCAGGGAAGAAAGAGGCCCAGAGTGGTCAAAGATTTCACATATTCCTAACATATGGATGGGGCAAACGTGGTTAAAAAGATGTCAAGTATGGTAATATAGTTGGGGTAAGTATTTGAGATGAACCACTTTAAGTTTTCATTATTGTCTTTTTATTATACATTATGATAATTTAGTGTGTATGTTGTAAATATAAATTAAATATGCCTAAGCAGTGTTATTAATTAGTAAATTGTATTGTGTATTTTGCTATTTCTACTTGTTATTATAATTATTTTCATCAGAATTATGAATAATTGGCTTTGTTCTTACTCGAAAATAGTAATGAACAATGAAATAGTGAATTTGTAGATGTCAATATACATTGTTGTGCTTGATCCACAATTATTTCCTAAACCAAGCAATTGAAATCAACAATTTTTGCACCCAAAAACAAAGTGAAAAAGAGAAATATAACTCCTACGACATCTAAAGAATATATAAGTGTATGATTTGATTTATACTGCAACATAGTTATTACATTGAATTTGTGACGTAAAATACTCGTTTTATGTGAGATATATTTAGTTGCACATAAAAATAATTAAACTTACTCTTAAAAACTGAACATTTGCTTAGCATGATTTTCAAGTTACTATTTTTCTAGAAAGTAAGCTAAAACTCAATAACTTAACTGAACGTTATGGTCAAATCAACAAATTCATCGTTATTATGTAAATTTCTTGAATAAACTAAGATAAATAAATAATAAAATGACGTACATAATTTTATAACATTCAAACAGTCTTATAGAAAATTAATTCATAATTATGTATTGTTATCGAATAATAAATAAAATGAGAAGAATATATATTTATAGTTAATAAACGAATAACTTGACTAAATAAAAATAATTGAGGATCAAGTTTACGATACAAGGTTTTTTTTTTTTTTTCTTTTACTTTCCAATCCATTGACGAAGAGATGAACTCAGGTTGTACCACAAATTTTGATTCTCTCGTGTCTTGAGGTGAAATTCGATGTATTGAAATGAAACTAAACAACAAGGGATGTTAGAAACACTTGGGCAGTAATCAAAGTCATTAAGCGACTTGTAACAAGCTTTCGCCCAATTGGTTAAAACATACAATTCACTCTTTTTGAGTTATCGCACGTCAGTTTTTCAGCTAGATTGCTCTTTAATGAGTATCATATTACAATTAGAGGGTATTTGGAGGGGATTAAAATTAAATTTTTAGTAAACTGTGATAGAAGTTTTTGAAATGTGTGGTTGAAAAGTTGTGGGATCCATGAAAGATGTGGTTAATATTAATTATTTGACTTTGATTTGGATTAAAATTGAATTTTAATCCGGACCAAACATGGTTTTAATCTTTTCAAATCATTGTGTCTAACGAGACTTCCTTGAGGAAGAAAACCTTGCTCTTTAGTACAGCTTTCACACTTAATTTAATACAACTTTTCCTCTTTGGTGCTAGCCAACATGGACTTTCAGCATTTATGTTTTTAGAATTTTTTTGGCATTTATAGAATCAAATCACATCGAAATGGACTAGAACTGACCAATGTAATTTTACAAAAATCCATATGGACGAAGAAATTTTGAAAATAAAAATAAAAAAAGGGGCTCAGGAGATTGGATCTACTTGTAAGAAGAATGTTTCGTATTTATAACCGTCTTAGAAATGAGTTCCATCTGGTTCTTGAAAATCTCAAGTCGAACCACTCGATATCTAATCTTATTTGTACTCATTTACGTTCAATCTGTAACACAAGTAGTGCTTGCAAATTTAATTTTGTGCAAGATCTTGTAATAGTAGTAGTCTTCATATATTTATGGAGTGAATTGTCCAAATAGTCATTGAACTTTACGCCATGCTTCTAAGAGGTCACTGAACTTTCAAAATTACTTAAATCATCATTGAACTTTGCAAAAAGTTTCTACGAGGTCACCGAACTTTAAAAATTACATCATTTATCACTGAGTTTTGTAAAAGGTTTTCCGAGGTCACTAATTCAGTTATCTCCTAGGAAACCTTTTGCAAAATTTAGTAATGAATGAGGTGAGTTTTAAAGTTTAATGACCTCGTGAAAACCTTTTGCAAAATTCAGTGATCACTTGAGTGATTTTTAAGTTCAGTAACCCTTTGGAAGCATGACTTAAAGTTTAGTATCTATTTGGACAATTCACTCCATATTTATGACTTACAACTTTTGCTCTTTTGTCGTATGTAATTCTAGAGGTTAAGTTGAATGATCTCCCTCCTTTCATGTATATATTTTTTTAATCCATTGATGAGATCGCTGAGTTTAATTCAAATTTATAAAATAGAAAAGTTTTATTATGGAAATAAAGAAAGAATTCTTGTTTGGCAAAATAAATAAATAAATAAATAAACGGAAATCTGTTGACTGAAAGAGAAAATGACTCCTAATAGTAATAATACAATTCAGAATATGATTTCGAGTACATTTAGGATTGATAGAAGGGCTTTTCAATAAATATCTATATATGGATGAATTGCAAGGCATGACATGAATACAAACGATAGAAAATCGATATTGTGACAGCAATATTTTTTCAAAGTTAGAGAGAAAAAAAATAGGTAAGAGAATAGAAACCGGGACACCATTTTCTCCAAACAAGTAGAGAAAAAAAATAAAACAAAAGAAAGCATAGAATAGAATAGAAAATGGAAGACAATATTCTCCGGGGTTAGAGAGAGAAAGTACAAAGAAAAAAAAGGAAAGAAAACATAAAATGTAGAAATTGAGACAACCATATTCTCCACACTTTTACTTAGAGGAAAAGTACAGAGAGGAAAACTAAAGAAAATGGGAGAATAAAAAATAGAAAGAAAAAGANAAAAAAGGGAGAAAAAAAAAAAAAAAAAAAAAAAGAGAAAAAAAAAAAAAGCAGGAGAATAGAAATTGGAACAGCCATATTCTCCACAGTTGAGAGAAAAGAAAGCAGATAATAGAAATTGGAATAACCATTTTCATCAAAGTTAGAGAGAGAAACATGGAAAGAAAGCAAAGAATAGAAATTGTGATAACCATTTGAGAAGAGAAATTAAAGAATAAAATTTGGGATAACCATTTGAGAAAAGAAAGCAAAGAATAAAAATTAAAGGAATAAATTGGCATAACCATTTGAGAATAATCAAACTGCAAACTGCATTCAGCATATTTGACTTTTCTTTCTCTCCTAAATCAATAAATCACACACAACACTATTCCAAAGCAAGACAATGGATACTGTTATTAGTGCCACCATTCAAGTCATAGTGGAGAAGTTGCTTGCATTCGCCACTGCAGAGTTCAGTCTGGTGTGGGGTTTCAAGAAAGATATAGAGAATATAATCCACGTCATTTTTGTTTTCAATAAATTCCAGTAATAAAGGTTTAGTTCCAACTAATTAGTTTTTAGTTTGTTTAAGTCTGTCATTAGTCAAAAGTTAGTTGTTAGGTATTTCTATAAATACTGTACTTTCCTCTTTCATC